CCATTTTTTACGTAGGAAACGTGTATTTTCTTTTCCCCCATTCCATCATATAAATGAAAAAATACATATATTTACGATGTGACCTTTAAATGACCTTGTAAATTATATGTTGTACAAGTGTAAATGTTTATTTTCGGGCGTTTGACGTTTATAGGAAATTCCGTCTTGAGGAAGAGAACAATTATCGCCTCGTTGAATTTACATTCGCCAATGCACCATTCGTCTCGAACCACCACACTTCTCCGTTCCGTCTAATCGCACGCTTATCCGCTTATCCCTTACGGCAGAGTCAAATCGAGATTCTCGATTTGGTTGAAATGGAATACACATACATCGACAATCCTGTAGATTCTCTAAATTTGGAAACCTCTCGAGTCTCGAATCTTTCAATTTTCACGTTTGAATTTCCCGCCTCTCGAAACTTCTCGAAAAATTTCGAATTCTTCCGATCGGGGTGACGAGGAAAGTGGTTATTAAAAAGAAAAGAAAAAGAGTAAAAAACGATTGTAAATTCTGAGAGGGGTTGATGATTTATTTATACACCGTGTCGTGTCAAATCGATGGATAAATGAGTCGTCCACAATGGTTGACGAGCAGCCGGGGCAGAGAGGGGCTATGTTAAAAGGATTAATGAAAACGAGGGTTCCGAAGTTGGGTCAATGGCGTAACCCGAGGGCGTGTAACTTGCTTCGAATTCGCCGGCACATATACGCTCTATAGAATCGTTTCGCCTTTCGCTGTCTTTATACACGCGGATCAATGGTGGAACAAATTGCAAGTTATCTATTATATCTTCACGAATAAATAGTTCAGAGGAAAAAAGGAACAAAAATAATTCTGTAATACACCCGTGTTGTATAGACAATTTATAAACCAAATGTTTGTAAAAATATGTCTGGTGAGTCTGTGAGAGGAGGAGTTAGATTCTTCTTTCTGCAAGAATTTACAAACTCGTTGTTGCGCAAAGTATTATTGAAATTTTTCAATTTGTCTTGTCAGTTTACCATCATATCAACTTTTGAACAATTTTTATCTATATACATGTAACTGTGTCCAACTCGCTTAGTTTTCGAAATATTTACGAAAACTATCTACTAACACTGTATGTCAAATCGCGACTCAAAAATGTGTTCGCGATGGCATATATGTGTCGGTATTTTGGTTGCCTAACTAATCCAAATAGTATTTACGTAAAGAAAAGATCAGAATTGCGTTTGAGTTAGCTTGTGTATTTTTGTCTGCTCGTCATAAGATGGCTGACAATCACTGGTGACACACACGCTGCCATGGGCGCACAGAACAGAATTCGTTATCATATTGATATCGACAGTTGGTAATTACAGAGTTGCACGCTCTCAGCGCGGGGTTCTGACGATGTTCAAATACACGATTGTAGAAATCAACGTTCTCGATCAGTTTCTTCCTTTCGCAGAAAATTTCGTCGGACTCTCTTCGAGCTTCCGAGAAAATATACTCGCAAAAAGACTATGTTGATACAACTATAATGATATTCTGTCTGTACTTGCGCGTCCGTTAGTATCGGTTGCCGACCGCTTCACTGCGGCTGGATAAAATCAACTAACTCAGTCTTAACTCTTATCTTTTGACCGTATCGTTTGCGGTCTGTTATCAACGGTGTATCTGTACAGAGATGATACTCTGCAAGCATAACCTAGCAGCAGTGATTCTACTTCTTTGTCAACAGATTGGTAATTAATAATGTTGATATACTAAAACGATTATCATTATTATTATTACACGTGGTTATATTTATTTCTCCATGAATTGCGAGTCGACTGTGTACGCGTTTATATTTATTACACACGAGAGATTGTGGATTAGATTAGTTTCGATTTTATTCAGATTGAGAACCCCTTGATTGACGAAGACTCGTTGCTCCCATGGACGCACAAGTGTAGGCAAAACATCATTGTCGCGGCATCGACAGATTCGGTTAGTAATTAGTAATTGATAATATTGATAATTGATAATATTGATATATTAAAACGTATATCGTTATGATTATTTCACGCGATTATATTTATTTCTCTAGAAATTGTTAGTCGACTGTGTACTCGTTTATATTTATTGCAGACAAAAGACGAGAGATTGTGGATTAGTCGATTTTATTCAAGTTGAGAACCTCTATTAACGAAGGCACTTCCATGGACGCACAAGTACAGGCAAAATATCACTGTGTGGTACAGTTTTTTGTGAATATCTCGGGAACTAAGAGAACCTGAGAAGAGAGCGAGAGGGAACAGTTGTTCAGAATATTGATTTCTACGTATTTGACGTATTTGAAAGTCATCGAAACTCTGTGCTGAGAACGTAATTACTTTACAGTTTTCTGCAAATATTATGAAAACTAAACCAAACCGACGATTATATGTGGAGGAAAAATTTGTTCAAAATGTTCGATTTCTACGACATATTGTCGGATGACTAAACGTGAGTCACATTGTTTTCTCAAATAGAGCCCTTTCAAACTTGATTCCAGACTGCAGAACATTGTTCATTATCAGGACACAATGATCACGATAGAACTCATTCGAAGACCTGTCATTAATTTTAATTAACTCTTTCAATTTATATCTAGCTTTTTTTTTAAATTAAATTAAATTTATATATAATAAACAATTAATTTAATATTTTAATTAAATTGATTTTATTATATAAAAAATTTATGGGATAAACAATAAATTTAATCATACAATAAATGTAAAAGAATATTTTTAAATTGATGATTTTAGTATTAATTATTAATAGAAATAATTTTACAATTTATTAAGAAAAATTTAAAAACTAAAGTACGCCGAGCAGGTGAAACAAAAAAACCATAACCATAATTAATTATAACTTTTTATGACACAGTACCACGAAATAATACGATTTTATAATAAAATATGATTTAAGGGAAAAACAATTGAAAGATTTTGTCGCTTTATCGCGATCCATTTCAGTTTAACAGCGAATGCACTTGATCTGCCTCCGTCGAGTATACTCGTCGCGGCTTGGAAATAATTAACCACGCAATTGCGCGTTCTCAAAATGCAGTGAAACGCTTGAAGGTTTTCTCAAATGCGTTTAAAAATTGGGGAAACGATGTATCGTTCGTTGAAAAGTTCCCTGTTTGACAATTGCGTCTCTCTGTGGGAAGCCAACAATATTTAAAATCGATGAGAACATCGGCGGGCATTCCGAGAGTTAACTGATCATCTACGAGCTTATCACAGCTCCTTTCAACGATAGGATTGTCATCCATTCGTGTTTCTCCGGATTTCTCTGGTTTTTAAGACGTTTCGAGACGTCTGGTGAGATTTCCTCTGGTGATACGGATTTTCCGATCTTGGTTTGCTTACGTGTGTATTGCCGTCGATCTGACATACTCGTTCGGAAATCTTAAGACAACTACACTACAGTACTATAAGGTGGCCACTGAAAGACTGAATGATATTGAACATACTATAGTACTATATTACTATACTATAGTACTAGAATACTATACTGTACTATCGTACTGTATAATATACTATACTATATTATACTATGGTACTATATATTATTATACTATAGTACTATAGAATACTATACTGTACTATTCTATACTATACTATACTATACTGTAGTATTATATTACTATACTATTGTACTGTAGAATACTATATTGTACTATTGTATTCTATACTATACTATACTACTATACTATAGTACTATATTACTATACTATAGTATTGAGGTACTATACTATTATAGTCTATAGTATACTATACTATAGTACTAGAGTACTATATTTTACTATTATACTCTATATGTGTTGTATACTATACTATACTATAATATTAGAGTACTATATTTATGATATGCACTAGAGAGTACGTATATGTAGAGTACTATATTTACTATATGTAATGATGAATTACGAATTATATACAGTAAATGAAATACTTACAATTTAAGTTATACAATATAAAAGTACCAATATTACAATGTGTAATAGAAATTATTGTGTTTACAATAAATACGATGTATTATGCATGTTCGGGAGTGTGAACGCGACATTAAGTCCAATGTCCATTAATCCGCGCGTACACAGCGCAATGTAGACGCGAACGCAGTACAGTTCGAACGAGCTGTCGCATCACGCACTCGTGGCAACGTGCAACACCGAGACCCTAATATTTAAAGCACGAGAAAATTCTTAAAAGTGTTCGTAGTTCGAGTATTAAGCGAGTATCATCCGAGTTTGTAATCCTTTCCCTGTTTAATCCGTACCTCGTACACGGGGATAACGAGTGGCCAGATCGTTTTAATTATTTATGCTATCTGCTTCATTGGTCATTTCGTTGGGCCAGAGAAAACGGGATTAAGCGTTGGTCTGTGCGTGCTGCGTTCTAAAATTCATCACACTATTAAAACAAAAAGAAAACGCAAAGGTGAGATGTACTTTTCTTTCTCATATTTGTATCGCAAGGTTCAACCGAAAATAGTTAAATCTCAAGCGCTTTTCATAACCTTTAACTGGACAACGAAAGGGTTAATGACCTAACCTATAACGATATTTTAACCTATAACGATCAACCTTCGAATTCAACACTAATATTTGGATGGATATTTTCCTGGATAGATCCAGAGAAAAAGAGAGAGAGAGAGAGAGAGAGAGAGACTCTCAGTCTGAAAAAGAAAAAGAGCATTGGAAAAGGAAATTGGGAATGTAGCCGAAGCTACAATTCTCGTAGCAGCCACAGTCGATCGTCGCGATTGATTAGCGAACCAGGAGCGTGGTGTACACCATGGTCCCCTTCTCCTCCTCCTCCTCCCACTCCGTCCCCCACCCCCCTCCCCCCTCTCACCGCACGTCGCAGTACGCACGTGAACGCACGTGAACGCCCTGCCGATGCAAATGTAATTATGGATTCGCTTTGACGCCGCAAAACGCTCGCCAACGTCACAGCTATGTGTCTTATTGCCCCCGCGGCCAATTAGTACGTAAGTTTTCCATCGTGCTAGGACGCTTTCGTGATATCAGGTCGATCACGGAAAAAGGATCATTCCTCTCTCGTTCGTCGAAAGTACTCGGCGACTCGGTAACTCGAGATGGCAATTGTTACAGAACTACTTTCTTCTCGGCATCTGATTTGGGACCATGGTGGCTTATGCAGGTACGTATTGTCAATGAAATAATAATAAAAGATAATAGAAGTCTGTCTTTGACACTAGAGAGGAGCACCATCCCACTCATATTTGAATATTTCGTTTCAATAAATTGTACACCGTATATACAGCGTACCATTTGATAGCATTGGTAAGTTGGAAAGTGGCAAGATTACAGGTTAGGAATTTCTAATGAAGTTAACCATTTGCACTCCTTTGTCAGGTGTGACGTCATCTTCTGCCACTTATATAGGAAGTCTTATGTCGAATCACCATTCGCGCGACATTTTTCAATTGCCAAGAAGAAAGAAAAAAATAATTGAAAAATAATTTGGAGTGCTGTGTTTGATCTTATTGCCAAAATCTGCTAGCTCTGCCGCGACGAATTTCCCACGGATTTAAAATGACGACGTGCCCCCGGTACATACACACGAGTACGTCCGGGGTATTGGCCGGACTGGCAAACTGGAACGATGTTTTCAGTTTGTTTTCTCGGGAGTTGAGCGAGCGAGTGAGCCCGGCGAGCCGGAAGGAAGGGAATAAGTCGAGGGAAAAAGCGCGATGGCCGATAATTCGTCGGTGCGGCGGTATTAATTGGGCGTCAGGCATACGTAACGCTGCCAGCTCGGCCGCGTAATTATGTCGACGGTCGATCAACATCATAAAACACCGAATTATTATCGGGCCCTTGGAAAAGAGAGGAGCGCGTTGTAATATCGATCGGCCCGACGTCGTTCCACACCGCGGCGACGATACCATATCCCCCTCGCCAGACCGCAACTTTCATTCGATTTTATTACACCGGATAACCGCTTTCTTGCCTGCGTTAAAGTAATTCTCTCTCCCGTTTACCGGTATATCAAAACTCCACCATCTTTGCGCAATTATTCTCGTTGTATTGTTGTTGGATGCAGCAAGTTCACCATCTTCATATGTGTGCAGTGTCACGTTCCTCTTTTTTTCCTTCTTCGCCAGTTTTAAGTGTCGGATCTATAATATAGGCGTATCTGTATTATGTGTAAATCAATACAAAAATACCCGATATAGTGTCTGTATATTCTAGTATATATAGTACAATATGTAACGTATAATATACTGTAATATAATATACTATACATTATAATATACTATATAGTATAGTATATAATGTATAATACACTATAATATGCATATAATATATATAGTACATATAGTACAGTATAAATATAATATTTCATATATTTCAGGCCCTTTTTGTGTAAAATATCTAAGCATCTCATGCCTTCTAACATATAACACGAGTTGAACATGTGTTAATGAATCTATGAAAGAAAACAAATTACTTAACCTCTCGCAGATGATCTTGCAACATCTACTGTTTACAAGAAAGTTGACATTGGTGATTCGCTTTTCATACATATTCGACAATACAACTCGCACTTCCAGTCTATCAAGATCTATCTTCATTTACCTACGGTCAGTCATCAGTCAGGTACATATTTATTTATCACACGCAATTATTTACATTAATTCAGCAAACTTACCTTACGAGGTAACCGTAAAAATTTGGGAGCTGACGAGTAGATGAAACTCGCGCGTATGGCGGAAAATCTTTTACGTGTTGGTTTATGGCCGAGGCCTCGGGAGACCGGTGTATGTACATCGGTCCGTTCCGTATTCGAGAAATAATGTATATAATGTAGGTCTTCTCAGAGAAGCACAGACGCAACGAACTCGCCGCACGAACAGGTGAACTAGAAAGTCCAACAAGTTAGAGAGCTGATCTATAGCAGTGCAAAGGGGGTTAGCGAGTGATTACGCACGCTTTCGACGTGTAAAACGCAAAGAAGTTTAATCGTAGTGTCGTAACATTGTTACGCTGTGATCTACCGATAAAGTCAATTGCGTAAAACACCTTGTCGCGTCTATGGCCGCTAGAGGGTTCTTTCTAACGAACGTTCGACATCGTATCATCGCCTTCCCTTTCGGTAATTCCATGCTGTATCCTCTCTATCGTTATTCATATTATTTTGTATTATTTCCACTTGATTGAAACGAGCTCTGTTCATAGAATTTCTTCGTTATCGTTGGAAATCTGTAAACTTGTAGTCCGGACTCGCACCTTTATCGAAAGAGTAATTTGTCATCATTGGGCGATAATATTCTCTCCAAATTCTCGGGAGAGAGGAGTTACTTTGATAGACATTATTCACAGTGTTGCGTTTAAAAGTTGCCGGGGCCGAACGCGACGAAAGCAGAGTCGAACAAAATCGAGCAACGGTAGCTTTCTACACGCGTCTACGAGCGTAAATACACACACACACATATTATATTACAGTTCTAACCTGCTTTTACTCTTTCCTTCGCTTGGTCCCGCGGTCCGTTTCCTTGGCTGCATATACATATATATATATATATATATATATATATATATATATATATATATA